TTTTTTTTTTTTTTTTTTTTTCTTACAGGGAGCTGCTGCCCAGAATTAAGGCCAGCATCATTCTGAAGGATAAATGGCCTCAGAACAGGCATCTATCAAAGCCCACTCACTTGGGAATGAGCAGAAGTCCCCGGCTTTGCCATTCCTGGGGGGACTCAGGGTCCAGGCACAGGGAAAGGGGGCATTTCAAGAGCCAAGCTGTAAAATCAGCTCCAGTATATATTTTCACGCAAGAAAGAAAGCAACTCAAAAGATCTGCGCAAGTTGCTGCTGGGTGAGTTTCATGCCCAAAACGAGTGGTGTTGAAGGATTCTGGATTAGGGAGAAAATACTAGGCGATGCAGGGGAGGTGTTTTACCCCTTCTCCCTTCCTTTTTGGGATTGCCACATTTTGGAAGCTCTTACTATTTATTTCTATGATGAAGCTAAGCGTTCCTTGATTTCCGTAACACAGGAGACTCTATCGCTTTTGGCTTGAGGGACTCTGACCCAGAAAGCTGGAAGGCACTGTGAAAGGCGGGTAAATGGCTGCAAAAATGTTTGTTTGTGATGGAGAGACGCAGGCTTGGTTGTTGTCCTGGGTGTTGGTAATTGGGACAGGGCTGATGAGAGTCTGCTCTCATTTAGGCATTTTAACCCACATTCGCACTGTTGTCATGCTAATGCGTGTGGACCGGACCTAATGCATCACATCGAAATGATCCCAGAGTGGCCTTCCCTGCTGCCTGCACAGACACCGTGTGGAGGAGATTCTGGTGTGCTAGTGGGAAATTTGGGGGAAGTGGTTTTTGGGCACAGCAGGGACAACACCAGCACGTTTTGAAGGGGGAGAGAGGAGAGAGATATGCATTTCCTTCGGGAACTTTTTTTTATTTTTTTTTTTTTTTTTTTTTTTTTTTTTTTTGTGGTACCAGGGCTCGAACTTAGGTCCTTGCACTTATGAGCCCGGCATGGCACCACTGAGCTACATCCCCAGCCCTGGAAACATGTTTTGGGGTGGGGATGGAATATCAGGAATCAAACCCAAGGATGCCCTATTCTTCAGCTATATCCCCCACCTTTTTTTTTTCTTTCTTTTTTTAAATTTGGAGAGAGACTAAATTTCCCTGGCTGGCCTTGAATTTGCGATCCTCCTGCCTCAGCCTCCCAAAGAGCTGAGATTACATGTTGGGAATCTTTGAAGGTGGTAGGAAACAAGGTGCCCCTTGCCTTCAAACACCGCACAGGAACCCTTCTTCAGGAGTCTGGAGTTGCAATGTTAATAAACAAGGCCCCCAGCCAGCCAAATTCACACTCATGTGGAAGCCAAACTCTTACTGGCATAAGCCTGTTTGTTAGATAAAGTTATTTCTCAAACGGCACGTAACAATTTCTAATTAACCCCCAGAGGTGACACCAGTCTCAGACAAGCTTGGTTCCATATTGTCTGATTGATTAGGATTCTATATCCAAGCAGTGAATGTGGGGATCAAATTGGTTTTAAATTAACTTCTAAAAATGTTCATGTTTACCATCTGGTTTGGGTCATGGACAGGCTTGGGTCCTGGAGAGCATAAGGTAACCGCTAATTCGTTATCTGGGGCTTTCGAGACAGAATCTCCTCCTTTGAAATCATGCCTCACCTCAGGAGGGGGGCCGGTGAGCAGCGTTAATTTGATGTGCTACACCTGGCACTGCTCAGCGACACACCCATCCCTGTGTGTCTCACCTCTCGGTCACGCTGCTGGCTGCAGCAGGGGGCACAGGGACTGGCCTGCAGCCCTCTGCATTGCAGGCAGTGTCCCCTCCCAAGGAGGAGGTGCAGCCCGGTAATCTGCTCACCACCAATGCCTCCTCCACGTAAGATAACGCCATGGCAGCCTAGCACACTGGTTTCTGGAAAGGGAATGTTTTCGAGGTCACTCAGGGAACCTGGAGGCTGCTTTTCTGATTAGAACCTGTCCTATCCCTTCTCTGCTCTGCAGAGCCGGGGTTTCTGGGAGGGCGGTGGAGAAAGGAAAGACAGTTGGGTCTGGGTTCTGTCCATCCCCAGTGGCCCAGCCCTTGAACTCTGACAAGTGGCTACCCCTGGGCGAGAGGCTGCCCTGTCTGGCTCAGGCCCTTGAGTGTCTCGGATGCAGTGGGCGCTCAGTGTATGCTCAGGTGCCAGAGGGCTCGGAGGGCCCTGGACCAGGATGGTGACCCTTGTCTTTTCCTCCGTCCTGATATTTATTTGCACTTTCAAAAGATAGTCTCTGGCTGGGGATTTAGCTCAGTGGTGCTGCTACCTGCCTCACATGCACAAGGTCCTGAGTTCGATTCCGATTCCTGGTACAAAAAAAGTGCTGGGTGCCTTGTGCAGAAGTTCCTGAGCCAGAGCTCTAATCGCAACTCCATGGCCCTTAACCTTTAGTGACCTCGAGTTCAGTGTCTTCTCACTGAGAACGGAGACAGCAAACCCCAGCAGCATCTGTAGACTCTCCGACAGCGTCCGCAGTGTTCTGTTATTGCTGTCACAGGCACAGGGGACATTAGTGACCTTCATCATTGCTTGGGCATGAGGGTGAGGAAATAATTCCTATTCTTAGTATTTCTGTGCCACACACTCATGCTTTAAGACTTCAGTAACTACTGTATCTTTTTTTTTTTTTTTTTTGGTACTGGGGATCGAACCCGGGTCCTTGCACTTGTGAGACAGGCGGTGGAACCGCTGAGCTAAATCCCGGGCCCTAACTACTGTATCTTAATGGGATTGGTTCCCATGAACTCCACTGGATTGTGATGCCTTTGGAAGCGTGTTTCAGAAGGCAGGTGCTTAGGGTTCAGTAGCCGCCAGCAGGGTCCTCCAGGGATGAGACTCTGGCTTGGTCTCCAAAAAGGTCACAGATCCCTCCCTTGTCCTTTCTCAGGGCCTGGACATTACAAATAAAGGTAACTCTCATTCTGCCTATTTGCTCACCGGACACAAAAGGGCTGCTAGATTTTCTCCAGCTTAGGACAACGTGCGTGCAATCGCTTCCTTCACTGTCTAGGGTCAGAGGCTTCCGTGGCGTTCACCTGAGGGCCTGGGGTGCACCTTGCTGGCAGCCGTTCCTGGTGCCTCTCCCCAGAGGGCACTGTCACCCCCTCCCACCCAGACTCGCACCTGTCTGAGGCCCTGTGCTTTGAGCCTGGGTTGACGGGGGGGGTGGGGTGTCACGGGGGGACTGTGCTGCAGGGAGCAGCAGCCCGGCCGCCTGGCAAAATGCCGTCTTCCTTGTGGATTCACCGATACTTGTTGGCCCTGACCAGGAACCAGACCCTGTGCTGGGTGGAGCCAGGGCCCTGCCCTTGTAAACGGTCCGGTGCCAGAGGCACGTTTGATCGGAGAATCACGAAAAGGGGAAACTGCCCGAGCCTTGTGCTTGGCAGAGGCAGAAATGGATCCCTCAGGGTTGGGGATGGGGGAACAAACTGAGCCATGGCCAGCGGCAGACAGCACTCCCCTCCCAGGGCCCCGGACTCACCAGGGCGCTCCGCAGCGGGTGCTGGTACCCCGTGGGCCGGTAGTGCCGCCTCTCTGCCCTGTCGGTGTGAATGTCCCTCAGGTACAGCTCCTCAACCAGCGGGGGCGGGGACCCGGGCTGTGGCTGCAGGTGGCGTTGCCGTCGGACTAGGCTGAGCTCGTGCATGCTTAGGCCCAGCGCCCACCGCCGCCGGGCAGTCCCCGCGGGCCCGGGGGCTCAGCAGCTTTTACAGTGCCCCGGGCAGCCAGGCAGTGTCCTGGGGGAGCCGCCCCGCACAGTCCTGGTCCACCCCAGTCTGGTTGAGGCGCTCGGAGACCTCAAGCGGGGCACGGTGGCTGTGGAAGACAATGCCCACTTTGTGCAGGTGGTAGTCGGCTTCCGTGGCACGCCGAATGACCCAGGAGGCCCGGCGCAGGCGGACTTTGCCCGTGATGAGTAGCGAGTGGGTGGGCTCGCGGCAGGAGGGGTCCCCGTAGTAGAACTGGTAGGTGCGGAACAGACGGTTGGGGTAGAAAGTATAGGAGCGGGCAAGGAACTCCGGTCCTGGGCGCACTTCGCAGCTGCCAGGGAGAGAAGACAGCAGGTAGAGCAGTGAACTCAGCCTGCGGCCCTGGCTCCAGCCTGCGTTCTGGACGCTCACAGCCTGTGGCGCTGGCGGGTGGTCAGCCCCCATCATTCTGCATTAAATCCCCAGGCCCAGGGTGGGGCGCACACTGCCCCCGCCTTGGGTTCCGGGTACTTGGCTCAGAGCTGCATGTCCTTGCTAAGTGACAAAGGCATGAGTGATCTCAGGAGAGGGTTGCTAACATTGCTCCCCTCTTCTTTGATAAGTTAACTTCTCTGACCCGGCCTGGCTTTCTGGGAAGCTTTCTCTGCAAAGGGATCAGATATATACATGTGTGTGTGTGCTGTGGGCCAGATGGTTTTTGTTGTAGTTGTAGAGCTAAAACAGCCATAGGTGACATGTAAATGAATGAGCCTGGTCATGTGCCAATAAAACTTTATTTATAAAAACAGATGGTGGGCAGGCCCTGGCCCCCAGGCTCTATTCTGCTAGCAATGCAAACAGGGAAGGGAAAGGGAAGCTAATGACTTCTAGAGTCACAGTCTGCGCCGAAATTTATCTGTCAGGAGCTCAGATGGAATAGATGGTAGATAAATTCCCATTCACAGTTTTACCCTAACCACCCACCTCTATTGCTATTTTCTTGGTGTTTTTAATGCTGAGGCTGTTGGAGCAGAGAGGACATGTTATCAGCCAGCAACAGTTTCCTTTCCTTTCCTTTCAGTCTTTCAGCTAATGTTAAGGAGAAAGTCTGTGTTCAGAGTTTATGCATCTTTAAAGCCAACTTCTTTTTTTTTCTTTTCTTCCAGAGAGAACAGACTTGGAGCCTTAGGTAGACCATGAATCTAGAGAGACTCTAATTATGCTGTTTTGTTTCATTGAGTTTCTTTTTACAGTTACTTCTAATTTATGGCAAGTGGCTCTGTTCTCTGTATCCCGGGTGATACTATGCTTCCTTTAAAAATAATTATATTACAGTGTAGATGGTACAGTTTACTGTATGCCAATTATACCTCAATAAAGCTGTAAAAATGAATGAAGATGTTTAAGTAAATAAAAGCAAGTTTGAAGGAAAAAAAAAGAGCAAATACCAGAATAGCTGAGGCTTAAAAATAGGGAATGGGAGCTCAGTGTGCTGATGCCTGCCTATAGCCCCAGTACTCTGGGAGGCTGAGGTAGGACGATCACAAGTTCAAGCCCTGCCTGGGCCATTTAGCAACCTAGTGAGATCCTGTCTCAAAATAAAATTTAAAAGGGCTGTGGATGCAGCTCAGTGCCAAAGCCTTGAGTTTAATCCTCAGTCTTGCAAACAAGGGGAAGGGTCCCCCACACCCAGGCCTGTCTGGAGAGCGTCGTGGGCAAATTTCTAGGAAGAATGTTCCAGAAGAAGCTTCTTAGAAGTGCTCCAGGATGTGGTGGCCTGGGGGTGGGAGTAGCCTGCACCCAGGTCCCCTTCCTGAACCCCATTCTGCCTCAGAGTGATGCTGGCCCCGGGTTCTGGGACCCCACCTGGACTGTGGAGGGCAGGGCTGCCTGTAGCCGGCAGTCTGGCCGTGAGTTCCAAGTGGCTTTGTGGGACCCTTGTCCTCTCCGTCCACCCAGAGTGCTAGCAGATGTTTGGCCGTGGGTTTCTCCATGAGCTCAGAGTTACACAGAGGACGCAGAGTGTCCAGTCTTTGACCCCAGGTGGGTCTGGTTAAGGAGGAGAAGGGCAGGAGGGAGAGGAGTGGCGGCGACCTGGAGGGAGGTTCTCCACTGGCTGCCATGGGCTCTGTGCGTGCAGAAGTGGGCCCGCCCCTCAAGTGCTGGGGAAGCGGTCGGATGGAAAGAACCGGACGGGTGCACCCAGGCTGGCTGTGGCCTGCACTCTGCCCCGGGGCCTTTGCCCAGCTGTGTCCTTTGCCTGGCTCTTCCCCTGGCTCTCAGGTGGCAAACTCAGTTTAGCTTCCCAGCTGAATGTTGACACTTTGGAGAAGCTGGCCCTGACCATGCCCTCTCTAGGCCATTTGCTATTACACCTGGTTTCATTTCCTTCATAAGAGCTCAGCACATTCTCAGGTGTATAGTATTTATTTCTGTGCTTGTGTGTGTAGCGTCTGTCCCTCTGCTATTGTCGGCTGAGGCATGGTCCCCACTCTAGAGAGGGAGTGAGCAGAACCATGTGTTTGATAGCTAGTGGGCCTCTTGGGAACCCAGGAAATTGGGTCCATTTCGCAGATGTGGTGACTGAGGCGAAGAGAGGGAAATGTCTCCCAACTTCAGGGCCCATCGTCAGGGTAGCTGGGGTCTTACCCAGTGGAGATCCAAGGCCCATCAAGGCGTGGGGCCAGAACGGCAGTGACAGGAGTGCCCTCAGACGCCGGCTGCGGGCAGCCAGGCTCCCAGTGCAGGTGGCTGCTTCCCATGGCCCTGGCTGCAAACCAGACAAGAGGTCAAAGCATCACACCCCGAGCTACACCCCACCCCCCTGCTGTCCCTCTGAGCCAGGGCCACAACGGGGTAGGTTGCAGGGCTCCCAGACCTGACTCGCCGAGGGAAGCATCGCACAGAGACTCCAGACTCCTAGGAGCCAGCCCTTTCATTGAGTCACTGCTGCCACTGTGCCACTGGGCGGTGCTCATGGCTCCTCCACTCCCGGACAGGGGCCACTCGGGTCTGAGGGCCCCAGCTCCTCCCAGAGCAGGCCACAAAGACTCAGGCAGCCAGGGCCTGGGAGGGGCACCTTCTGGCCCTTCCTTGCCTTCATTCACACCTTCCCATGTGGAGTCCTGGGGAGGCTGGGGTCCCGTGCTGCCTCCTCACACCAGACTTGACATATTGACCCCAGATTCTGCCTCACTGACCTCCCTGGGGACCCTCAGTGGGGAAGCCGAGAAGGCAGGAGAGACGTGGACGACAGCAGGGCCAACTGTGTCTCACTGTGTAGCCCAGGCTGGCCTCGAACTCACAGTGATCCTCCTGCCTCAGCCTGCCGAGTGCTGGGATCTCAGGCTTTCGCCAGCCGCCTCACCCAGCTTGCTTTGTGCATTTTTATACGTCGACATTGTCGCCTCTCAGGGCTCAGTGTCCACCTCAGAGAAACGGTGGGCTCAGCTCCACCAGCGTTTGTGAGCCCCGAGTGTGGTACCAGGACTCAGACTCCGGTTGTCAGAACCCAGTCGCTTGTGTTTCACTCCCAGTGAGGACACAAGGGACTGATTTGGAGACCCAGACAGACTGCAGGGAGCGCCCATGTTGGCTGAGTCTGTGATGAGCAGATGCGTGAAGATGCCAGGTTGGCACTGGGTCCCATCACGTTCTTGGCCAACCAACCTTTTGGCATCCATGACCCAAATAAGAGAAAGGAGAGCCAGTGCCCAGCCGGGCTGTGCCCTTGCACGCACGTGCTGTAGCTCGGGCAGCTCCGAGGGTGCTCCGAGACTTGAAGGAGACCCACTGGGTCATTCTGCATGAACCTGGCACGAGGCGGACGCCCAAAGGGACCTGAGCCAGGACACGATGCCGGGGGTGGGGAATCCACACTGACCATCCCAGTGCCCCCACCGCAGCCAGCGAGTTGGGCTCAGCATCGGCGCCGCACGCTCTGGTGCCTCTGCAGCCGACTTCATCGGGAGGCACTGGGTCCCCTGGATTCAATTCCATAGGTTAATTTGAACATCACCAGTGTCAATGAAATCTGTCCAGAAGTGTTGATCTGGAGAGTGCATAGAAGCAGCGCGAAGAAAAGGGTCGGAAGGGGTCAGCCTTATTTGCCTTGTAGGGAAATCAAGCTTACATTACAGAGCGAAATAGCGAGTGGGCCTGGAAAATTATATTCTCATTGTTTCCACGAAGCTCAGTTTTGTGAGAAAGTGTTTTCCGTTCAAAAGAAAACAAACCCCTTTTCTCCTGTGCCCCCTCCGAAGGCACCGCGGCGGAGAGGCTGGGTTTCGCCTCGAATCCTCAGATGCTGTGTTCTCACTGACTGTGTTTTAGTTTATGTTGCCTTTCTGTGAGAAACGAGGGCTTAATTATGTTAGGAGACCGGGATACAGTTCCATCCCACTGTCTGCAGCACACACACAAACAACCTCCGACTTTGTCAGTAAAAACACCATAACCACCTCTGGGCCGTTGGGGAACCTCAGTTTCAAGGTTGTAAAAATAAACTCGGCCAATTATAAATGATTCCGTGACATTTGCTCAACTGCTGCTTTTGGAGCAGACTCTGATTTTCTTTTCTTTTTTTTTTTCCTCTCCCACCCCAGAAAAGTCTTAACAAGATAAGCAACTGGAGACAGATGGTACTTGTGCCTGAGAAATACAACTTTTTGCAGGGACCCGTTAGACTCAGTTAAAATGCAAGGACCAAATTGATTTTTATCTGCCGTGGTTTCTTAATTAACAGTGGTGTCCACTTACTGCCATTCATTATTTACTGTTTACCCACTAATTAAAAATTATGCTGCTTTTGCACTCATAAGAGCAGGGACATTTGAAATTAGATAGCATCGTTCAAATTACCTGCAGAATTAAATCTAGAGTGCCCAATTTCTCAGACCAGGCTCCCAGAGCTGAAAATATGATCTGCAGACACCCGATGCACCTTCTGAGTTGGAACAGCAGGGACAGACGCTCGGGCCAGTGCCAGATGGAGGTGGCCTGGGGCCGTGAGAGGACCTGACACCTGCCAAGGGGGGAGCTGAGGTCGTGGACAGAGCCTCGTCACAATGCCCACGGCCACAGGCGTGTGCCCTGGAGTCCTCCTGGCCAGAGCAGGGCTGTGACCACAGGGCTGCGATCTCTCCAGGAGTCCCGGGGAGGCCACAGCACTCCCGCTCCGGCCATGCCCCAAGGCGGCAGGCTCAATGTGTCACCTGACCTGGGATCGGTCGACGCCCCTGCTCCAGATAAGGAAACTGAGGTTCAGAGAGGCTTTTGTCACTCCTCAGGCAGTTGTTTCTTAGGCAGTTTTCAAAATATGTAGTAAAATACTCTAACCTAAAATTCCTGCCTTAACCACTGTAATGCGTAAGATTCGGTGGTGCTTAGTACACTCACGGCACCATGCAGCCACCCCTGTGCCTGGAGCCACCCCTGTGCCTGGGTCTAGAACAAGCTCTCACCCACGCTCCCTGGCTTGCCCACCCCCGCTGTCTCCATGGTGTTGCCTCCTCAGGACAGGCCAGCATCCCTGCTAAACAGCCCTTCATGGGATGTAATTTTAAGCTATCCTGAGTGTCAGGAAGGAAATGTGCTTAACAGCCCAAAACTTTCTGTGGCTTCCAGTGGGCTCGGTCATGTCCAGGCTTTCCCGACAGCCTGTGAGGCCCTTCACAACCAGCATCTTAGGCAGGCATGGGATGCCCTCCTGTCACCCCAGAACTCTGGGAGGCTGAGGCAGGAAAATTATAAGTTTGGGCAATTTATTGAGATCCTGTCCCAAAATAAAAAAATGAAAAGAGCTGGAGATGTAACTCAGTACAGAGTCTTGGGTTCAAACCCTAGTACTGGGGGAAAAAAAATCAGCGTCCTCCTGGCTTTGCTGCCATCCACCAGCTCTGGCCATGATTATCTCTGTGCAGCCCTCTCCTGCCTGCCTCCCTCCTCATCTTCTTCCTCACAGCCCTGCAGGCAGGGCGATGGGCAGCACTTCTGTCCTACTCCGCCCCTCACCTCTACAGTCCTTACCATGCCTGGCACTTCTATTTCTACTTTCATTTTTCAGCTTTTCATTTAGGAATAATTTTAGACTTACCAAAAGGTTGCAGAAGCAGTAGAGTTCCAATATTCCCCGCACGCCACTGCAGATTAACGCCTTACATAGGCAGCCAGCAGTGATCAGAGTCAGGAAGTGAGCCTTGGGGCGGAGACAGTGCACAGCCTCGCTCACGCTGACCAGGGGCCCGTTCACAGCCCTCGCTGGCCAGGATCCCATGCTGCACTCAGCTCTATCCTCTCCTTCAATCTCAGATCCATCTCCATCCCTCGTGACCCGGGCACTTTTGAAGAGCGCTGGACAGATTTCTTAGGATGTTTCTTCATCTGGGACTGTGATATTTCCTCATGATTACACTTATCTTAGGTATCTTTCTGAAAATGCCACAGGAACCCTGCTGGGCCTTCTTGGTTCCTGGGCGCAGGGGCTCCTGATGTCACTGGCCTCTTCCTGGTGACACTGACTTTGATCACTGCTTGGTGGAGGGGTCTGCCAGGTGTGTGCATTGCTCAGTTACTTCTTTTCTCTCTTTCTTTTTTTCTTTCTTCCTTTATTTTATCTTGTACTACTGGGGATTGAACCTAGGGCCCTGTGCATGCTAGGCATGTGCTGTATCAAGCCACTATTTTTCTCTTTGAAATTAATTATTTTCTTATGGAAATATACTTAGGGATTATGGGAACATCCAGTTTCTCATGATTTCTCATTTATTTATTTGTTTTTTTGTTTCTTGAGACAGGCTCTTGCTATGCAGTTCATGCTGGCCTTGAACACATTGTAGTCCAGCTGGCCTCAAACTTGCAGTGATCCTCCTGCCTCAGCCTCCAGGGTGCTGGAATCAGGCGTAAGCCCCCACACCCGGCTTCTTTCTGATTTATTAGTTGGAATTGTGCTGTTGAGGAAGTGCTGTCCATTTTCTCCCCAAGTATTTATCTGCGCGTTATTTTTGTTAGTATGAACCCCTGGATAATTATTTTACTAAAAAGGCTATAACCCATGACTGTCAATACTTTATTGCTTAAGTTGTCCCCGTTCAGGCTTCTTCCCAACAGGTCTCCAGTCTGCCCCTCCCACGTTGTGAGTGCGTCCTTATTTCTGGTGCCAGATTGTCCAGGCCCATTGTGCACATGCTCGGCCGCAGCTGGGCATCAGCCATTTATCCAGGGAGGTCTTGTTCCTTTTGTTGGAGAATGGTGCTTAGAGACCACAGTCCAGGCGCTGGGTGTGCTCACCGCCAGTGGGCGTCCCTCCGGCTTCCTCTCATTTTCCTCTCTTGCTGCCGGTCTTCCTTCCTTTCTTTTCTCTCTAGCCCTTCCTTCTTTCTTGTCTCTCTTTTCCTGCTGTCTCTCCCTCCCTTCTTCCTCTCCTCCTTTCCTCACTCGCTCCCTGACAGTATGTCTGCCGTATAAGGATGGAGTCCTTATCACTCGCTCCTGGGTTCCCCAGTACCTAGCGCAGTGCCTGACAGATGCTCCGGGCACATTTGTTAAGTTATGGGAAGTTCTAGAACAAGGCCATCCTGTGCTAAGTGCGCCCTGAGTGCTGGTTATAATTACTTTGGGTTGAATGCAGGAATAATTCACGCTGTATCACAGCACACACGTGGGTCCCTTGCTGGCACTCTTCCTGTCTCTTGGCATGTGGTTATTAGAGTCCAGATAGAAGCGGAAGAGAACGGGGTTTACAGTAGTTGGGGTTGCTAGCAATCAGGCTGA